TATGATGGTTTCAGTGTCCTGGGGTCATGTAATAGCCTTGTGTGACCTTTTGACAAAATATAAAAATTTTAATCAAGCCCCACCCCGCCCCCAGTCAATGGTGTCCCTCTTTACCAATCTGAAAATCTGGTCACCTTAGTCTAAACACATATAGACACAACAAGGATTTTTGAGATTTAATTAATTAAACATTGTTACACAAGCCACAACTATATGTAAACCAGGCAAGTATCTCCTTCTGGAAGCTATTTTTGCATCTTCCCCCACCCCCACACAAAAACCCTCACTTGCCAAACCAATAGTGAAAGAAATATGCCAAGGAGACTGTGCCTCCTGTGAGATTTGCTATATATTATTTCTGGACAGTCAGAGCCGGATCATAGCCCCCATCTTCATCTTCTTCTCCAAAGTACCTTTTGTTCAAAATAGGTTTCAAAAGAGACCCTGAAACTAACCATTCCAACGGAAACTGGAAGACTATTTTTTAAAAGAAACATTTTAAAAATACTGCTGCTATAATTCAGTCAACTGGCTTTATTCTATTAAACTTACCAGCAGAAATTGGATTTCCAAGTTTCAGAATGAATTCATTTCATTCTGGCAATTTGGTGTCAGAATCCAAGTGAAAATCTAATTTGGCCAAATTGCTTCTGAAGCAATATATTGAGTTCTAAAACAATGGCACCCCTGTCTGGAATACATTCTACTTCAAAAATTTGTACTATCTTTAACTGGCTACTGCTGAATGAATTGGAGTGGTAGCCACAAATCCACAATGGAGTGGTAGCCACAATATATATATAGCTGTTGTTACTATATTTTTTGCTAAAATGGTAGCTGAAATTGCACCATAAGAGAATAGGAGAAAGAGTTTACAGTTTTAATGTTGACTTCTTATTTCTCTTTTCTAGTGGATGAAACATAACCCATGCATAATATGTAAGTTCTTATCCTGTTTTCTAGATTGGAACCTGGGATCCTACAAGTGGACTTAATATGACTGAGAATCAAAAAGGAAAACCAGCAAACATAACTGATTCCCTTTCTAATCGTTCCTTAACTGTAACCACTATTTTGGTAAGCTATTCCTCATGCAATTAGTTTTCGGAGGTTCAACTAGAGTTGAAAACTACAGAAAGTCACAGTGCATAAAATAATAATAATCAGCATTTGAATGTCATAGTTATGTAGCAATTACTGATTAATGAATAAGTTAAAATATCTCATTAACTGTGGGATTTTACCTTCAACTATAAAGATAGTCATTTTAATTTCTGTGCTATAATCTCAGTTGACTAATTATTTAACTTTCTTGTGATTTTTCCAACATTTGTATATTTAGACAGAATATGTTTTGCTAGATTTGGAGAAAAAGTTTCAGTTGGAAGGGTATATAATTTTTTTTTAATGCAATTAAATATTAATTCAGCAAAGAAAATCCTTCCAAAAGCAGTAGTGATTCTTTCAGACTTCTCATTCATATTTATTTTAGATTTTAATTTCAAATTTAAATAATAAAATAAATCTAAATCTAAAATAACTCCTAAAATGCAGAAAAATTAAGACTTTTTAAAAGTTTAACTCCAGCACTTTTATTTAATCAAATTCAGTTTGATTTTTTTCCCTTTTCCTACCACATTTAAGAGACTCAGTATTTCAGTTAGAGTTCAAAAGATTTGTTTCAAGCTTGAAATAGCTGTCATATGTTTGAAATGGGCTGGTGAGGTCATCATGGAAATGTTTCAAGTTTAAAATGGAGTGCCCAAACCAAAAAAAGAGGCCATGTCATGCTCAAATACATCTCATTTTTGATTGAAACATAAAAATTGCAACATTTTACACAGACTTTTTAGACTGTATTTATTAGCTATTTTATTTTTATTTGTCCTTGGGGCAGGACTACGTAATATGACATGACTTGGAAATTCATTTTATTCTAATATAAATAAATAATATTTTACATGATTCTATTGGACATAAATATTTTGAGATGAAGGGCGCACGGGGAAAATAGAAAAGAAAAAGAAAAAAAAACATTTTTCTTGCCAGATTTCTACTGCAACCACCAATCACTTCTTAAATTAAGCAGTACTTTATTTTTATGCAGTGTTAAAAACAGAAAGGAAACATCTGAACTTGTAATAAAAGTGTTAAATAAAAGTTGTTATTCCTGCAATTTAAATTCTGAACTGAGCAATTTTCTCATCTGTCTTACTCAAAATGGTAATGATCATTTGCTCAACTGGGTAGATTCCATATAAAAATATCTTAATTATTTTCTTATCTGTTTTTCTTATCTATGTCTGTACTTTTTTTAAAAAAAAGTAATGCAAACTTTTTTTAAAATTGACTTCTAAGGATCCCTGTTTAAGGACTGGCCTGAAGACAATTTAACTTAACTGCATTGATTTAAATTGCACCTTATCACTCTGATGTCCTTTCAATATATTGAACTGAATTGCCATACTTTTCCACCAGCATCAGATAATTATCATTTTTAAAATATAAAATAAAGCCAAGTTAGTGCAGCACAGACATTAGCTTTAGGGAAAGTGTGCTGTTGCTATAACTCATTTATTTCTGTTCTTGAATCTACAAAGTGAATGTCATTCATCTATGAAATATGCATCTCCATACTCTCCAAAATTATTCTTTTACTACAGTGAAAGTCTAACAAGAAAAAATAAGTCTAAATTTTTCACTGGTTTTTTTTTAATGTGTAAGCAATCAAAATTTATCAGTATGTATATTGCTCAGTGGAAATATTTTGCCTGGCCTGGAAACTAAGTAGACTTGGTTTACTTTTTCAATGGGACATTGCCAGGAACTACATAAACAACAGTGGGAAGTTGAATAATACCCTGAAACAACATAAAGAAGAAATTTTTGGCATACAGTTGTCAGAAATACTGTGTGGATGTTTTCCTGAAGTTGTAGGGTATCGAACCTAACTTGAAGGAGTCATTACTTAATATGAACATTAAAACCGATTGGATTTTTATTGAACCACTCATCCTGTTTATATTCTGAAGAACAACAGGTTCAGAAGATCACCTTAAAGACTGTGTCAATGTTCCAAATACCATGCAGAATTAAATCAGAATCGAAGGCAAAACTATGCTTAAAGTTTCAGTTTAATAAGACAGACATGTTGGCATCGTACTGTGGGATTCCAACTCTGGAAGTTACATCAGAATCCCACCCAGTGAAAAGTTCATGATCTTGTCCCCACACCATCACATGGTCCAATCTTCTTCTTCCATGCTGGCGTCTATGCCCAACTGCTTCTGGTCAGGTGTGAAAGTGCAGAGACAAAGGATGACCTTGACTTCTAGTAGAGAATGAAAAACAATACATTCTACAATCCTATTCCTTCTATTCTCCCTCCCATTGACTATACTTAAAGAAACAGCATAATGAAATAAGAGAAAGTGTGGCAGGCCAAAATTCTAAAAGGAATATAAATGTAGGCCTGACAGACTGGCAGGTTGGTTACAGCATAAGTCTACATGGCTGCAACCCAAGAATGCTTAACTACTTTTTATCATATATCTCATGATAATAGCTCCATACTGTAGTTACAGTGATTATTTGTTTTCTTTTGGTACTTCTGCAGCACAGCAAAATAATAAGATGGATATTTCTTTGATAAAATCTGAAGAAAAGTTCTGGTTCCATGTAATTATTTTCAACAGTTGCTTAACTAGTTAGTGGTTTGTAATTTGTAGTCTTCACCAAGCATATAGAACTGCCATATACAACAGTTCCTTATTTTTCATATCAAAGTTCTCTCTATTTCAAAAATACAGTGCATTAGCCACAGAACTCAATGTGCTGCATTCTATGTCTCAAAAAGAAAGCCCTCAAGAAAGAGTGAGATAAAATAAGTTTAAGTTTATTTAAAAAAATGCTCACTATATTTATCATTATAATCTTTTCAACCTGTCCTAAGAAATAGCAGCAAATAAGTTTTTGTCTTAAGCTACTTGATAGAAAAAGTGCCATATATTGTGAAAAGGAACACACCAGCAGCAGAAGAAAAGAACCTTGTAGGGCACCAGTAGAGAAGGAAGAAGTGCTCGATAATGATCATGCATGGTGTTAAGGTGCTGAATGTGGAGTGGGAAAGCCCAAATTTTAGTTATTCCTTAGACACAGAAGCCAATTGGGTGATTGTGGGCCAGGCCTTGTCTTTTAACGCTAAATGGAAAGTTGGATTTTTTTATTTTTTTATTTTTTTAAAAAAATTTTTTAAAAAAATTCAAATTAAAATTAACAATGACCAATAATTTATTTTGTTTTGTTCAGGCCAGGCTGGCTTGCTGGAAAAGCCAACTTTTTAGGGCGCGTCGGGAGGATTGGAGGTCGGGGATTATACGAAGCTCCTGGGGCAGCTCATTCCAGAGGGAAGGCACTCCCACAGAGAAGGCTCTCCCCCTGGGGGTCGCTAGCCGATACTGTCTGGCCGATGGCACCCTGAGGAGGCCAACTCTGTGGGATCGCACTGGACAATGGGAGGCTACCAGTGGCAGTAGGTGGTCTCGCAGGTAGCTTTCTGTTGTATCTTAGATAGTGCTGACATTCAAAAAGAGGCCTCTGTTGAAAATATTAGTGTGAGAAAGGCTTACAGAGAAGTGTTACCCAGAGAAGTGGGCAAGTGTTCTGAAAGATAGTAAGATATAACAAGGACAAATGTGTGTCTTTTATAGTTTAATAGCAATAACAAAGTGATAATCAGAAAACAGAAGATCTAATCAAATCCAAAAGAAGCCAGTACCTCTGAAATAGATTTAGTTTAGTTGGTCTCTGGGATCCCCAAAACAGCTTCTCAACAAGCATAACTTTACCAAAGTAATTTTTTTTTAAAAAAAAATCCATATGTGGTGGCTGTAGAATTGGAAAGAGGATGATACTAAAAGAAGGTGGTTCCAGAATGAAAGTGGAAATGGAATGCAGAAGATTCCATTTTTAATTTGTATTTCTTTTTTAATAACATGGAGGCATCCCCATAGTAGTTTGAAGGAAGTATAAAAAGATTTGATTAAATAACATAATAAGCCAAGCATAACTCTTTGCCCTTTGAAAAAGATGTAAACATTATCTTTACTTTACTTATATTTTGGTCCACTGCTTTGGCCGGTTACTGACTGAACATACAACTTCTAACACCTGGGTAATTATTCCATACTCATCTCAAAACATGATTAGGGGTCATGGTACCAAGGACCCAGTAGCACATCTCTCAGAGAGATTGATCAGATGATGTACTTTCTGAGGGCTTGGAATTTCTTCTGGCTGAGTCTGAGGAATTCCAGATCTTCTTCTTCAGAAGAATATTCCATATTAAAGATGAGAAAAATAATGTATTGTCCATTTTCATTAATAAATTACATTGTTCCTCTTGCTACTTTAGTTGGCAATTATTTTCAAAACTCCTTATGAAGTTTTGTAGAAAAATTCATGCACATATTTATGGACAGTTCTCCTTTTTTAAAACCTTTTTTTCATCGGATGCATACTTTCATTAGAAATATGCATTCTTCTTTGCTCTCACTGAAATGTATACAATTCTTCAAAACTGGAATAAGAACAAACATTATATATCATTCTCCTTTGGAACGCAAGCTGCATATGCTTTCAATTAAAATATGCTTCTTTTTGAAGGCTATGGTAGCTTTACAGGTAAAACTTGCTATCAGTTCTGTACTTTTTTTTGGACAGAATGTTTTTGCAGTAATTCTAGAATGGTTTCTGGGGCTCTAATAACTTCTTCAAGAAAATTGGTCAGACATACAATTCCAGGTGTATCTTTGATTGTGTCTAGTCTCTTAGGGACTCTGCTGAACTATACTGTCTGTGCTGACAAGACGAACAAGTCTAAATAATTTTCTTTGCTACAACTCTGAAAGGTGTTGTAATATGAAACTTTCCTGGCCTATTATTTCATCTCAAAAATATAATATTTGTCCTGGCACAGGCAAGTTATCTTGTATTAGGCCATATGCAACTTTTTAAGAATCTTGAATTCCTTTTCCTGAAATGATTTTCTTCCAATATATTCTTGTTGAAAATATAGTTTATATTATTAGAGTATTAGAAATCAGCGGGATTTAAAGCTCATGAGCAATGTCAAACTGAAACACTAGCAAGAGAAGCCACAAAAAGAGACAATGTTGTTCTTCCCACTGCTGCACTTATACATTTCTAAAGCTTAGAGTTTAATTGTTTTATATTATTTGCTGATTTGAGACTTATAAAGGAGAGCAAAACTTAGATGCCATAAAATGAACACATGGATATTGCTTAACTCAGGGATCCTCAACCTCTGGGCCCACTACTTATTTGCAATCAGGCCATGTGAATTGTGGGCTCGCATGCATGTGTTTAGCTTGACTCACACAAGTGGTGGGCTGGCAAGCTTGTGCATCTCAATTTGAGCAAGTTGAACTCAACTTGTGCAAGTTGAGGTGTGCATGCTTGTGCAAGCGCACCAGCTCACCACTCATGTGAATTGATCTGCACATATGTGCGCACCGGCCCACCACTCATGCAGACTTCGTTCCCCTCTCCCTTCCCCCAGCCAGGTTGCCAAGCCACAAAGGTTGGGGACCACTGGCTTAACTGATGCATATCATAGTAGTCTTCTTTGTAGAGTAAGAGTCAGCTGTACTGAAGGAAGTTGTTGACCTATTTTATTCCTTCCAGTGAAAACCTGGGGAGAAATCAGTTGACATTTCATGTTGGTATGTTTTGATCAGCTGTGTTCCCATTATGGGAATCTATTATATTGGTCCACTATTTTTCATAATTGTTTAGCATAATTCTGTGAAAGATAGTTTCTGATTGTTTTTATTGAAATGAAAGATATTCTCCATTGTTTCCATTTTCTTACTTTCAAGAAACAGGTCCTGGAATATGAGTAAACATTAGAATTGGTAAATGTTTTGCATTTGTTTTATATTATAGTCCCTGTCCAATAATTACCAATGTTCTGTCAGTTGTTGGGAATGTTTGAAATTCCATGTATTTTGGGTTAAATATCTGGCAGTTTATTATGTTTTACAAAGTGGTCACAATTGGATATTGACAGAGATGATCAGCTTCACACGAGTCTCAATTGCACCTAACCACCATATTTAGCCTGATTCTTAATTTATGATTTGATAGGGGAAAGGAAAGCTGTTTATAGTGTATCATACTGTATCTATATAGGCCGTTTCAGTATCTCCCTAGGGTTTCTGATGATCTTTCATAACGCTAGCTGGATCTGAAACCAGAGTATCTTCTCTGGATAGTGCATGAGTTATAACTGAATGGAGGTTAGTTGTGGTGAAATCTGAGAATTCTCCTCATTGCCTACTTCTTATTCATGTCCACGATGAAAGACTCACCCATAAAATCACTGGATTACATTTCTTATTATTAATCTACATTTTGAAACATGTAAATCTTATATAGTTTTTTGGTCTATGGAGATTCTCAGTCATCTAGGTATACATCCATCCATATATAGTTTTTATTTCCAGGCAATTATAATGTTTCATTGCTATTTTTAATTATATAATCACAGTTGCCAAACTGGATTCAGATTCAACTATAAAACCTATAATTCCTTAGTAATAATTGAATTAATCAAAAGTAAGTTGTCTTTCAATAAAGATAGTATTCAGCATAACTTCTGAGGGTAGAACAAGAAGCAATGGGTGGAAACTAATCAAGGAGAGAAGCAACTTAGAACCGAAGAGAAATTTCCTGACAGTTAGAACAATTAATCAGTGGAACAATTTGCTTCCAGAAGTTGTGAATGCCCCAACACTGGAAGTGTTTAAGAAGATGTTGGATAGCCATTTGTCTGAAACAGTATAGGGTTTCCTGCATAGGCAGGGGGTTGGACTAGAAGACCTCCAAGGTCCCTTCCAACTCTGCTATTGTATTGTATTGTATCCGGTGCCCATAGCTTTGCAAAGGATAGAGTATTTTTAGTGGTTTCAAAACAAGAGTTTTGTACATACTCTTGTATTAGGGAAAATCTTTTGAATTTTCATAATGTTGTAAACATTTGTCTGTTAAAAAATAATCATTGCATTTTATTTCCTCTCTATTTATATTCTTTTTCAGGAAGAGCCATATGTGATGTTCAAGAAATCTGATAAACCTTTATACGGGAATGATAGATTTGAGGGATATTGTATCGATCTCCTTAGGGAACTATCAACTTTTCTTGGATTTACCTATGAAATTAGATTGGTGGAAGATGGGAAATATGGAGCCCGGGATGATGGTAGTGGACAATGGAATGGCATGGTTCGAGAACTAATTGATCATGTAAGTTACTTTAGAATTCATCTTTAGGAACTAAACTTAAGTTTTCACTTTGACTCCATAATTATTCAACAAGCAATTTGTGCAAGCTTTCCTAGAATAAAAAGTATTATTTTATGTGATCTGTCATTTTTTACCTAACATTGTGTTATGGAGGATGGGATGAATCAGGTGTTTTCATCCTGGTACCATTATCTGTCTTTTTAGCTACAGACATCTTTATTTCTATACACAGAGCTGTGTACAGAAAATTAAAGTAGTAGCATCCTTCTTCATTTGTTGGAGAATTTTATGGAACTAGGCATTTGATGTTTGTTCTTCCACAATGTGGGGTACTACAATCTAGAAACAATACTATCATGTGTCAACAATAGAATAAAATTCTTTTTTATATATTTTTATTGGTTTTTCCATCTAGAACAGCTTTCAATCATCACATTAACATTGTTGTGTCATCATACCTGTATATATCGATCTTATAAAGAATAGAATTCTTTTTTGGCCAAGTGTGATTGGACACACAAGGAATTTGTCTTTGGTGCATATGCTCTCAGTGTACATAAAGAAAAATAAAATAGAATATATTCATCAAGAATCATAAGATACAACACTTAGTGATAGTCATAGGTTACCAATAAGCAATCAAATTATACTAGGAAACAAATAAAACAATATAAATTTTAAAGATACAAACAACATGGTTATAGTCATAAATGGAAAGAGATAGGTACTAGGAAGGAAGATAAGAAGAATAGTAATACAATCTTAGTAGATAATTTGATAGTGTTGTGGGGATTAGTTGTTAAGCAGAGTGATGGCATTTGGGGAAAAAAACTGTACTTGTGTCTAGTTGTTCTGGTGTGCAGTGCCCTATAGTGTTGTTTTGAGAGTAGAAGTTGAAACAATTTATGTCCAGGATGTGACAGGTCTGTAGATATTTTCACAGCCCTCTTTTTGACTCATGCAGTATATAGGTTCTCGATGGAAGGCAGGTGGTAGCAATATGTGTAGTTTTCATTTTTAAAGTTAATTGAAATTTTCCTCATATAAATATATTGACATACTGAGATAATGGTTAGAAGTTTGTCTGGGGCTGATTCTCTTATGCTATTGATGGTGGACAGGTAATGGTAATATCCCTGTAGAAACAAGTCCTTTTCCAATCCAATGTTAAGTTTGATCATTCAAAGCCTTTCTAGTAAGACCAATTTGGCCTTTTACATTTGTATTAACCCTTTTGGGGAACTCATTTGTAAATTAAAGTGCTTGAATAGTTAAGTGTGCATGATTGTGTACTTCAGGAACTTTAGGAACAAGGCCCTTTTTTCATATTATACTTTCTTCTGTTTCCAAGAGGTATCTTTATATATAGACACTTTATAATGTATGGTAGTGCTTTTCATTAGCATGTTCTGAGAAGTGTCCTGCTCCCTCCATTTAAAATATCATCTATGAAATTTTAAATTAGACAGAAATATCAGTGTATAATGAAACAGCAGGGTAATTCAATGTGAGTCAAAACAGATATCATTACAAGCAATTGTTTAAAATCGAGTAAGTCAGGCATCCCTTCACTTCATTGCTTTTAAAACATATTCTCTCACTAGGTGGTACCAATTGAATCTGGTTTCCTGGAAACAAAATTTAGCCCCTATGAAAATTAGGTAATTGTCTTCAGCTTTTTTTGTGTTTTGTCAGATTTACATTTGCTTTAGAAAAACCCTCAATAGCAAGGCATCTGATCAAAAACATATAACAGGTAATAAAAGAAGAATTTTTAGAGCCTTTGCTATTTAATACAACAATAAAAAATGAAGTGGTTCTGTCATTCAAATAGATACTTTTCATTGGAAATAATGGAATTGTCAACCTTATTATTTTGATGGGGCAATCAATTATTTCCTTAGAGGCTTTCCAATCTCATTAGACCATTTGACACCTCTTTTTCAATTCTCAATCCAGTTATTCCTTAGATTCACTTGTGTGTGGGTGTGGGTGTGCGCACGCATGTGTGTGCCCATGTGGATTCTTAATTTTAAACTATAGTATATTACCAAAGAAAATTAATAGAATATTTAAGGTTATATAAACTGTGTTTGATTTGAAATGTTGGCTGAATTTGAGATAAGCTGAATCACATATCTGAACGGACTCAAAGTGAGAGAAGCTGTACTAAAATATAAATCATAATTTTGTCCACATTTTCTGTAGCAAAAATAGTACAAATGATTTCTTTTCAAAGGTCAAACATCAAAAACAGTATGTCTTCTTTTTTTGTTTGAAAGCTACAAGCAAGAATAACCTGCTTTAGCATTTAGCTCCCAAATGCCTACATACATATTCTAATATGGCTTTTAGACAGTAATAATTGCAAGCTACTTTCAGAAATTAATTCTAACTCTAAAAAATGCCATCCTGTCTCTCTTATTTAAATCATAAAAGATTTAAATAATTCTAAATGATAACCTTCATAGTTAAAACTATGGGAGGGATTGGAAATTAGAACAGCATAACATTTATTGATTTATTTATATCCCACCTTTATATTTTTATAAAATATAAAGGTATGATATAAAATAATAACTTCAGCATACTATACATCACAACATCAAAAGAAGTTCCTACATCCAGTGGTGGGTTTCAGCCAGTTCGCCCCACTTTGAGAGAACCAGTTGTTAACTTTCTGAGCAGTTTGGTGAATTGGTTGTTGGAAGAAATCTTTAGGGCAGAGAACTGGTTGTTAAATTTTTTGAATCCCATCACTGCCTACCTCAGTAGCTTTGGAAATGAATAGAACTGAAGAAGCTGCTTGAATAAGAAGTGAAACATTTTCAAGAAAAACACCAAGAAAGTCTAGTTGCCTTTTAAAAAGCAACTTTGGAAATAATAACAAACTAAAGAATATAAACTGGAAAAAATACAAATTTATTTAAGAATAGTATTAGCTAAAATTAATTGGGGAAAATTTATTTTAAAATATTTTTTAAAAGTTCTGCATATAGGTATATTATAGTATAAGCATTTATGTGTGCATGGGCACACATGCATCTTTCAGTGCACACAAACAGCAGTACACATCCTTAGAGATTCTTATTATAATGTATGTTATAATATACTTATCTATTAGATTTTTATCCTGCCTTTATTAATCATTATTTTGATAAATAACTCAAGATGGCCAACATACCTAGTACACCTTCATCCTCCTGTTTTTTCAGGAGCAACCAACTTTTGAGGTGGTTTGGCCAGAGAGAGAGAGAGAGAGAGAGAACAACTGGTA